CCTGGCCTTTGTGTTTGTTTCTTGAGGGTCATGCTCTGTCACCCAGGCTGGAGTGTAATGGCAGGATCTGGGCTCACTGCAACCCCCACCTCCTGGTCTCAAGAGATCCTCCTGCCTCAGCCTCCCTAGTAGCTGGGACTGCAGGCGTGCACCACCATGCCCAGCTAATTTTTGTATTTTTTGTTGAGATGAGGTTTCGCCGTGTTGCCCAGGCTGGACGCAAGAGACCATCCCACCTCAGCCTCCCAAAGTGCTGGAATTACAGGCCTAAGCCGCCACGGCAGGCCCACCTCCAGTTCTGAGGTTACTGGCATGTAAAGCACCCAACTCAGGGTTCCAACAAGAATTAAGGTTAATTTATCGTCTGCTCCTTTTTTTTTTTTTTTTGAAACAGAGTCTCACACTGTCACCTCGGCTAGGGGTAACACCTTGCCAAGGCCCACTGCAACCTCCGCCTCCCAAGTTCAAGCGATTCTCCTGCCTCAGCCTCCCCAGTAGCTGAGATTACAGGCGGCTGCCATCATGCCCAGCTAACTTTTTGTATTTTTAGAGAGATGGGGTTTCACCATGTTGGCCAGGCTGGTCTTGAACTCCTGACCTCAAACGATCCTCCCACCTCAGCCTCCCAAAGCGCTGGGATTACAGGCGTGAGCCACCGCACCCAGCCATGTCTGCTCATACAGTAATTCTTTTTACGTGCACACCCTGCAATATTACTGTGCTACTCAAAAGCTAATTATGGGGCCAGGCTTGTTGGCTCACGCCTGTAACCCCCCCAGGACTTTGGGAGGTCGAGGCCAGTGGATCACTTGAGGTTAGGAGTTCAAGACCAGCCTGGCCAACATGGCGAAACCCCACCTCTGCTAAACACACAAAAACCAGGCGCAGTGGCGCGCGCCTGCAATCCCAGCTACTCCAGAGGCTGAGGCAGGAGAACCCCTTGAACCTGGGAAGCGAATGTTGCAGTGAGCCAAAGTCGCGCCACTGCACTCCAGCTTGGGCGACAGAGCAAAACTGTCTCAAAAAAAAAAAAAAAAAGCTAATTATGGGACTTGTAAGAAAATATTAATTTATCATGCCCCAAGGACCAAAGTGCGCTGAAAGTTCAGCCGTAGCTGTCTTTGAGTGTGGTCAGCCGCCTGGGGGCCACGGAGACCCACGAAAAAGGGGGTCGTACGTGAATGCGAGGTCCAGGTCTTGCACCAGTCTGTTCATATCTCTTGAGCCTCAGTTTCCTTTCCTGCACTTCGAGCAGTTAACCCTCAGTGCCTAGCAGCCGGTTATTAATATGTTCACAACACCCTCCACCCAGGGCAGGGGTGGGAACGGCTGTTCTGCTTTTGAAAGAGAAAAACAACTTCCACAGTTCTTCCGGCCCCACATCCTCTGAACCGGGCTGGGCGCCTCCTCTGGGGCGTAACCAGTTGGACGCGCCCCCGACAGACCCCGCCCCCAGCCCGCCGCCAAGGCCCCGCCCCCCGGGCCGCGGCGCTTCACGTCCAGCGGGGGCGCTAGAGCGCGGGGGACCGGGCGGGGCGGGCCCGGGAGGCCCGGAGGCGGGGCCGCGGGCCGGGGGCGGACTGGGGCGGGCGGAAGGAGAGCCAGGCCGGAAGGAGGCTGCCGGAGGGCGGGAGGCAGGAGCGGGCCCGGAGCTGCTGGGCTGGAGCGGCGGCGCCGCCATGTCCGATAGCGAGAAGCTCAACCTTGACTCGATCATCGGGCGCCTGCTAGAAGGTTGGTCGCGGCGGGGGAGGCCTGCGTCCGCCGCTCCCGGGCCCCCTGCCGGGCCCGGAAGTGGCGCGCGGGCGGGCCCCCGGGGCCAGCTTAGACTGGGCGGGGACGGGCCGCGAGGTTCGCTGGCCGCAGCCGCCCCCCCGCGGACGCGCCTGAGAGGTCCTGGGCCCGCTCCGACGCGCGGAGCAGCCCCCTCTCCCGGGCCGGGGGCGCACGGGTTGCCTGGGTTCTTGAGGCGAGGGAGAAACCCGGGAAGCCCGGTCCAGGAAGGGGTCCTGCGCTGTGAGGTTTTTGGATGGCAGCCCCCTGTGCACGACAGTCGCCTCCCGAGGCGCTGAGGGTAGTTGGGGGCTTCCCTTGGGAGGCTTGAGGCCGAGGTCCCGGGAGGCTCAGCAGCAACAGCTGCCTGCGGGCAAGGAGCGGCCGAGGAGGCCTAGGCGCCCCCAGAGGTATCCATGGGGCCACCCGTGTCGCCCACCCTCCTCCTGTCAGGGTCCCGGGTCTTGACACCCCATTGCGCCCCCAGTGCAGGGCTCGCGGCCTGGCAAGAATGTACAGCTGACAGAGAACGAGATCCGCGGCCTGTGCCTGAAATCCCGGGAGATTTTCCTGAGCCAGCCCATTCTTCTGGAGCTGGAGGCACCCCTCAAGATCTGCGGTGAGCCCCCCGACCCAGGTCCCCTTGCTTTCCTGAAAGTGGCACTGGTCCCCACAGAGTTCCTGGAGTCCTCCTCCCTTGAGCCCAGTCCTGGTCCTGGGTTCAGGTCTAGACCCTGCATCTAGCTTACCCGATTCCCTGGGTCACAGGTGATATACACGGCCAGTACTATGACCTTCTGCGACTATTTGAGTATGGCGGTTTCCCTCCGGAGAGCAACTACCTCTTTCTGGGGGACTATGTGGACAGGGGCAAGCAGTCCTTGGAGACCATCTGCCTGCTGCTGGCCTATAAGATCAAGTACCCCGAGAACTTCTTCCTGCTCCGTGGGAACCACGAGTGCGCCAGCATCAACCGCATCTACGGTTTCTACGATGAGTGTGAGTGGTCTGAGCGTCTGGGGCTGCCCGGGTCCTGAACCACACTCCTTGTCATTCAATGGGACCTTCACATTGGCCTGATATCTGACAGACATTTGCTAGACTGTGCGCTCCACGAAGGCAGGGCCCAGGTCCGTTCTTGTGCCTGCCCTGCCCCTCCTGGCATGGGGTCTGGGGAATGGTTGCTGACTGAAGGACTGTCCATATTCTAGTGCTTTCCCCCAGGGCCCTGCCTGGTGACGTTCCCCCTGCATTTGCTACTAAGCATTTAGGATGTTTGCAGATGAGCTCTGCTGTCCAGAAGCTGAGATAAACCAGACCTGTACTTGGCCCGGCTCGTGGGCCGGGGCGTGCAAGGAGTGCCAACCCTGAGGCTGGTCCAGATTGGAACTCAGTATCCAGTGGACTCGGGTGCTTTAGAATTACTTCTGGTGGGAGGCTGAGGCGGGAAGATCTCTTGGACTCAGAAGCTCCAAGTTACAGTGAGCTATGATCTTGCCACTGCACTCCAGCCTGGGTTACTGAGCAAGACCCTGTTTCTTTACTTTTTTGAGACAGAGTTTCGCTCTTGTTGCCCAGGCTGGAGTGCAGTGGTGTGATCTCAGTTCACCACAACCTCCATCTCCCGGGTTCAAGTGATTCTCCTGCCTCAGCCTCCCGAGTAGCTGGGATTACAGGCATGCAACACCATGCCTGGCTAATTTTTTTGTATTTTAGTAGAGACAGGGTTTCTCCATGTTGGTCAGGCTGGTCTTGAACTTCTGACCTCAGGTGATCTGCCTGCTTCAGCCTCCCAAAGTGCTGGGATTACAGGTGTGAGCCACCATGCCCTGCCCAGATCCTGTTTGTTTAAATTACAAATTAAAAAGTAACTAGAATTACTCCTGGAAGGCTGACAGGCGGCAGGGGTGGGGGTGGTTTGCATTGGTGCCTGACTCTCTCCCATCTGCGGCTGAATAGCCCAGGGACGCCGGCTAAGGGTGGAGCAGGCAGACCCCTCACAGCTACCTCCCTCTGGGCAGGCAAGAGACGCTACAACATCAAACTGTGGAAGACGTTCACTGACTGCTTCAACTGCCTGCCCATTGCGGCCATAGTGGACGAAAAGATCTTTTGCTGCCACGGAGGTGAGCTCTCCTTAGTTGTCATCTGGGAAGTCACTCCTTTCAGGAAGTGTCTCCCATACCCCCCCGTGCTGGGCTGCACTCACTTCCTTGATGTGCATCCTACATGGGGCGGGCTTGTCTCCTTTCTCCCAGGAGCTCTGTGCTCCGGAGGGCAGGGGCGCCTTTGTGCCTGTTTGGGAACTTGAAAAAGCTGAGGGGAAGGGGATGGCTTCTGCCTGCCTAGGCACCCAGGAGACCAGTGGAGGGACCAGGAGGGTGGTGGAAAAGGCTCACTGGCCAAGGCTTCCTGGAGGAAGGATGTCCTTGTTTGAGGAAGTGACCTTCCTTCTGGCCCTCCAGGCCTCTCCCCGGACCTGCAGTCCATGGAGCAGATTCGGCGGATCATGCGGCCCACAGACGTGCCTGACCAGGGCCTGCTGTGTGACCTGCTGTGGTCTGACCCTGACAAGGACGTGCAGGGCTGGGGCGAGAACGACCGTGGCGTCTCTTTTACCTTTGGAGCCGAGGTGGTGGCCAAGTTCCTCCACAAGCACGACTTGGACCTCATCTGCCGAGCACACCAGGTGGGCTGGCGGCTCCCGTCTGTGGCGGGGGAAGGGGAGGGCCTTGCCTGCGCTTGGGACTGACTGCTCCGATCCTCACCCAGGTGGTAGAAGATGGCTATGAGTTCTTTGCCAAGCGGCAGCTGGTGACACTTTTCTCAGCTCCTAACTACTGTGGCGAGTTTGACAATGCTGGCGCCATGATGAGCGTGGATGAGACCCTCATGTGCTCCTTCCAGGTGAGTGTGGGGAAGAAAGGAGCTACTAGGCCCCGTGGCTCAGCCCCATGAGCCTGACCAACCCTGTCTCTTTTAGATCCTCAAGCCCGCCGACAAGAACAAGGGGAAGTACGGGCAGTTCAGTGGCCTGAACCCTGGAGGCCGGCCCATCACCCCACCCCGCAATTCCGCCAAAGCCAAGAAATAGCCCCTGCGCCCCGCGCCTGTGCCCCAGATGATGGATGGATTGTACAGAAATCATGCTGCCATGCTGGGGGGGGGGTCACCCCGGCCCCTCAGGCCCACCTGTCACGGGGAACATGGAGCCTTGGTGTATTTTTTTTTTTTTTTTTAATGAATCAATAGCAGCGTCCAATCCCCCAGGGCTGCTTCCTGCCTGCATCAGCGATGGCTGTGAGCAGGATCCTGGGGCTGAGGCTGCAGCTCAGGGCAACGGCAGGCCAGGTCGTGGGTCTCCAGCCATGCTTGGCCTCAGGGCTGGCAGCCGGATCCTGGGGCAACCCATCTGGTCTCTTGAATAAAGGTCAAAGCTGGATTCTCGCCATGGCCTCCGTCTCGCGTCTAAGACGCTGCCTGGCAGCTCTTCTGCGCAGAGCTACTTGGGAGGCTGGGCACCAGGCCCCAGCAAGGGCAACCCTAGCCACACACGCAGGTCCGAGGCTCTTAGAATTCCAGGTTGGCACCAAAAAGTATCAGGAAAGCAAGAAAAACTGTCAGCTCCACGGGCGTCCCAGATGCATGCCCAGGACTTCAGGAAGGAACAGGTCAGGTCATGATTGGCAGAGAAGCTGGATCGTCAGGGGCCAGCAGCACCTGCTGTGACGTTTTCCTTAGGAAGGTGAGCCTGAGGGAGACAGGTTTCCAGCCTTGGCCAGCTGGAGTATAGCCTGAGACTCAATGGGAAATAAGAGGTAGGAACGTCAGTAGTTCAGGGCCAGGTCTGGAAAGTCATGATTGGCTGGGGGTTGTGGGGAGATAACAGGGCCCAGGCCTGACTGCTGTGGGACAGCTTTACAGTGACAGCCAGCTGGGGCCTGCGAGAGGCAGTGAAACAGCTCAGCTCCAGCAAGCCCACCTTTCCGGTCCCCAGGGCTGAGACCCAGCTCTTCTACTGGCTGGGGTTTCATCTAGTCCAAGGCCTCTGGGTACAGGCTTCAGGTTCTTGGTTCAGCCTTCGCCCTCGCTGTCTTCAGCCAGCACAGGGCTGGGGCCCTGCGGGGAGCGTACAGGGGCCAGGATGGAGCCGAAGAACAGTGAGCGGAACTGCAAAGAGAACAAGTGAGTTCTGGAGGCTGCTCCCTTCCCCACCTCCTGCCCCTGCCTCCACCTCCAGTCCCTACCTTCTTGGGCGGGGGAGTCCCAGGCACTGTACTGGGCTCAGCCTCATCTTCCTCGGAGTGGAGACCGGGGCTCTCGGGGTGCTGGGGGCCAGGTGAAAGGGAAATGGAGGGCAGCACCCGCGAGCCCTCATTGCCTACAGTGGTTTCCATGGCGATCATGTAAGAGTCAATGTCGTCATTGGCAAAGTCGTCTGGGTGGGGTATGCTGCAGGCAGAATCGGAGTATCAGGGAGGAAATGGGGAGCAGAGGCAGGGCCCCACCGTAGAGGGCTCCAAGGGAGCTCCGGGGCCCCCTGACCACTGAAGATCTCTTGGTTTTATGACTTCCTGATTTGGCTGGAGAGGAGAGGATGCAGGGGTTAAGTGGTGGCTTCCTGGAAGGAGTGGGCCAGGAATGTCTGATCAGAATTCAGGTAGGGGCCTGAGGAAGGCATCCTGGCGGCTCCTTTAGCTCAGCTAGGGGAGAGGAACAGCAAGTCCTGTGAACTGGGCCACATGGGGCCCAAGCCCCCGCCTTCCCAGGGGACAGGAGCTGGAGAGCACAGGAGGCCGGGGACAGGCTGGGCTGGGGGCCAGCCCCAGCTTCCTGTGCTGAAAGTGCACTGGGCCATCCTCCCCAGCCCACCCGCTCTTCCAGCCACCTGCTTCCCCCAGCCCAGGCAGCTCCTGCCTCCCAGCAGCCCTTTCCCTCCTTGGCCTGGGAGGAGGCTCAGAGGGGAGGCCTCAGCCAGAGAAGGAAGCCGGCAGGGCCTTGGGGATGCTTCCCTGGGTGGGAGGAGTCTCTGAGTACAGCTGACCAAGAAGGCTGAGTCTGCAGGGCTGGCAGCTGTGAGCACTGTAGGGGTAGGGACTGGGGCCCGATGGGGAGAGAGGAGGAACAGGAGGGAAGCGGGAGAGAACACATTGCAGGGAGGTGCAGAAGCTAGGAATTGCAGTCTCAGGCTGGAGTGCACAGACATGGGGAGAGGAGGAGTTGGGGGAGGTGCCCTCACCTGTGAGCCTGGAGCTGAGGCACTGGCTGGTGACGCTCTGGGGAGCCCAGGTCCTGGGAGTGCGAGTCAGTGTCTGAGAGTGTGGCCAAGACAAAGTGGCCATCCAGCAAAGAGTCCTTGATGGTGAAGATGGCAGGCCTGGGCAGGGGATGGGGGTCCCAAGCTAGGTCATCCCATTCAGCTCCTAGCATCCCAGAGCCCTTCCCTGTCCCAAGGCTGGGAATTACCTGCCTGGAGCATCAAAATGAATGCTAAGATTCAAGTTTGCTGACTCTGCAAAGCTCAGGAGCCCCTGAGAGGAAAGAGGTAGCAGGTGAGGCCCCGGGTTGGGCTGAGCTGGGCAGGCAGGACAGGACCGGCAAGTGCGTGGGGGGAACCTCACCCGGAATTCCTTGAGGCAGAAAGTGATGGCCACCCCTTCCTGGGCCTGCAGCTGCTGGAAATCCTCCTCTCCAACGCACATCTCAGTCACCATGGCTTTGGCAGTGCTGTCTGTTGGGGAAGAATAGGAGGAACCTGGGCCCCACCCCTCTCCCACCTGCCGCTCTGCTCTGTCCCAGGTTACGTCCAGCTCCCTCACCTGCCTCCTCTTCATGGTAGCTGCGCAGGATGACCCTGCGGCCACGGCCAATGCCCAGCGTCACTTCAGCCAGCGCAGGAGGGAAGGGCAGAACAGCCTCCCCCAAGACCCTGTGAACGGGGCGGAGCATTACCACCAATGCTTGGCCCTGCCCAGGGCTTTGCTCGCAGAGGACCTGAGGCGGGGGTCACACATGCACACGCATGGATGTGCGCAGGCCTAGCACACGGTGGACGAGGCCCAGATAAGGTGGCAGGAAGGGGCTGGTTGCAGTGATTGCTCAAACCTGGCAGGTGGTACCTGACCATGCAGAGCAGGGAGAGGGCCCAGAGGCAGGACATGGCACTCATGCCGCCCTACAAACCCGGCCTTCAGAAAGAGCCCTGAAATCCTTATCCTCTAGGAATACCCATTGCTATACAGATGAGATCACATCTGGAATTTGCTTCAAGTCAAGTGGGGACGGGAGCTGCATCTGCTTTTACATATATTTGAAATTATTCATGAGACAGCGCTCGCTTCAGCAGCACATACGCTAAAACTGCAGCATGCAAAAGATTAGCGAGGCTCCTGCACAAGGATTAAAAAAAAAAAAAGAGTAGCTGGGTGCAGTGGCTCATGCCTGCAATCCGAGCACTTTGGGAGGCCGAAGCAGTGGATCATTTGAGGTCAGGAGTTCGAGACCAGCTTGGCCAACATGGTGAAACCTCGTCTCTACTAAAAATACAAAAATTATCCAGGCATGGTGGTGCATAACTGTAATCCCAGCTACTCAGGAGGCTGAGGCAGGAGAATTGCTTCAACCTGGGAGGGGGAGATTGAAGTGAGTTGAGATTGCACCACTGCACTCCAGCCTGGGCGACAGAGCAAGACTCCGTCTCAAAACAAACAACATGAGAGAAACGACTGCTCATTTTTTAAAAAAAGAGACTGGGGGCCAGGTGTAGTGGCTCACGCCTGTAATTCCAGCACTTTGGGAGGCTGAGGCGGGCGGATCACGAGGTCAGGAGATCGAGACCATCCTGGCTAACATGGTGAAACCCCATCTACTAAAAATACAAAAAATTAGCCAGGTGTGATGGCAGGCGCCTGTACTCCCAGCTACTCGGGAGGCTGAGGCAGGAGAATGGCGTGAACCCGGTAGGCGGAGCTTGCAGTGAGCCGAGATCCCACCACTGCACTCCAGCCTGGGCAATAGAGCAAGACTCCATCTCTCACACACACACACACAAAAGGGCGCGGTGGTTCACGCCTATAATCTCAGCACTTTGGGAGGCTGAGGCGGGCAGATCACCTGAGGTGGGGAATTCAAGACCAGCCTGACCAACATAGAGAAACCCTGTCTCTACTAAAAATACAAAAAATTAGCCAGGCATGGTGGCGCATGCCTACAATCCCAGCTACTTGGTAGGCTGAGGCAGGAGAATCACTTGAATCAGGAGGCGGAGGTTGTGGTGAGCCTAGATCGTGCCACTGCCTGGGCAACAAGAGCGAAACTCCATCTCAAAAAAAAAACAACAAAAAAACCCTAAATGCAGCCCAAGGAATTGGCCCCCCTCTCTACCCAAAAGAGCTCTGAGCAGTGCTGGCTCAAGAGAACCTAGGGAAACAGATGTCAGGACCCAAAGGGACATTCAGTCACCCTGAGAAATAAGCAGGACCTTGGGCCACTTGAATACAAGCAGTGTCCAGCGTGGGACAGGGACAGGGGGAGAGCCCACTCCTCTCTGAACTGGTCCTTGCCAGGGACCTTTGCTTCCACTGGAGTCCCTGTTTCCCTGGCCCCAGACAGCCCCCCGGTGCTCGGACTGCCCAGAATGGCTCCACCCACAGCTGATTACTCAGGCAGCCCTCCTGAACCACAACCTCCCCTCCAGCCTCCTGCCCTGGCCTTGGGGACTCCTTGATCCTGGGCAGTCAGGAAAAGAGGCTGCCCTTGAGTGGGGAGCACCTCTGGAAGGATGCCCAGGCCGGAGAAGGGGAGTGAGCCTCTGAGCCACAGGTGAAGGGAAGACCTTCAAGGTTACTCAAGCCAGACAAGAGATTTGGTGGCAGGCCAGAAATCTGCTCCCTAGAGGAGGAATTGGAATGGGTCTGAGCAGCCAGAAAGTCAAGTCAGACCTTTGGGGTGGAGAACGAAGGCTCCTAACAGTGAGGAGAATGGAGCAAGGAGGCGCCTGCCCCTCCTCCATGCCACCGTCTGCCTTTAAAGAGCCAGGTAAGGACCTGAGCACATAGCGGGCCATGGGATGTCTTTGAGGTTCACAGAAACTCTGTAGGGAAATGAAGGACATACCTTCTTAAATCAACCCTTGAGGCCCCAAAGAAGGAAGAGAGAGACCTGGAGCTGAGCTGAGGGCAGGGGTGTGCTCACCGTGCTGGGGCGCGGAGCATGTGGGGGCACGAGGCTGGGTCGAAGACGGCCTGCAGGGACTCACAGTCCTGGAAGGACAGGTTGTGAGTCTTCCGCACCCCTGGATGGGCGATAGGGTCTCAGTGGGCCTCGCCGACCTCCCTGCTGAGGCACCCCTTGGCTGGCCGGCTGCCCACTCACCGAACTTGCAGTGCAGCTGGACCACCAGGCGGCTGCTCCGGCCGTTCAGGGAGATGCAGCATTTTTCCACCGTCTTCTCCAGCATCGCCAGTGAGCGGAAGACAGACAGGAAGGACTAAATGGGATAAGACACCTCAGCCTAGCACCGCATCTCTGCAACAAGCTCTCCTGTCCCGTGTAGGCCCACACCAATCATGGGCCCAGCATGTAACTCTGGGAAAAGGGCTCCCACATCACACGGGACACTGGCATCCTTCTAAGCCTCATTCATGCTCTTCCTTATGCTTGCAATGCCTTGAAAGACCTGCTTACCTTTCTCTTTTTTTTTTTCTTTGAGATGGAGTCTCGCTCTGTCACCCAGGCTGGAGTGCAGTGGTGCGATCTTGGCTCACTGCAACCTCCGCCTCCCGGGTTCAAGCAATTCTCCTGCCTCAGCCTCCCGAGTAACTGGGATTATAGGCGCCCACTACCACACCCGGCTAATTTTTGTATTTTTAGTAGAGACGGGGTTTCACCATGTTGGCCAGGCTAGTCTTGAACTCCTGACCTCATGATCTGCCCACCTCAGCCTCCCAAAGTGCTGGGATTACAGGTGTGAGCCACCGCACCCGGCCAAAAGACCTGCTTACCTTTCTTGACGAACTTGAGCCTCACCACCCTCTCAGGTCCCCGCTGTGATGCTTTTACCAAGGCCCTCCCTGTGTTTTGCATGGATTGGACTTGCACGTGTCTCTCTCCCCACTTAGCATCTACTGAGTACCCCAGGGCAGAGGCACAGCTGGTGGAGATTCCTGGGGTGGGGCAGTGCCACTGCTGAGGGAAGGGCCTCACCTTCATCAGGATCTTACAGCGCAGCAGGTCCTGACCAGGGGTGGCTGCCTGGTATTGCTGGAAGAAGAGCGGAGCAAAGAGAAAGCAGGCATAGGCAGAGCGGGAGGAGTTCACCGTCCGGAGGGAGAGCTGGGCCACGAAGAGCAGGGAGAGGGACGTGGTCAGGGGGCAGCCACAGACCCAGCCCTCCGGCTGCTTCTGCTCACACACTTGCTCTATCGTCCTCCCGCTCTGCCACCACCTGCTGAAACCCTCCTTCCCCATGAAGCCTTCAGAGTCGGCCTCGGCGCTGCTGCCGCAGAGGAGCGGTCGCACACCCAGGCCTTCCCCGAGTTTCTCTAAGGGCACGTTACCCGCTGGGAGCTCGCAGGAGGCCAGCTTTCAATTCACACACCGGCCTGGTAAGATGACAGGCGCTAGGCTGAGAAACTGAAACTCTGCCGACAAATCTGCCAGCGGTCATCCCGCCTAGTGGGGGCGAGACTCGAGTCCGGGTTACCCGCTCCCGGCTGGAGTCCCACCCGCCCCCCCACACCCCAGCCCCTCACCCCGTCCTCCAAGGGTTCCAGGTAGAGCTCGTCCCCGATGCGGGACAGGGAGTGGACGGCCTTGCCGAGCACTGCGGGGAGGAGAGCGGAAGGGGGTTAGGCTGGCGGCTCCGCGGCTCCTGCACCGCCGCTGCCAGGCCGACCCGCACTCACCCTTCACGTTGCCGCCCGTGACCAGGCACTTCATGCTGCCCCAGCGCCCAGCCAGCGGCCAGCACTACCCCACACTCCGCGACCTCAGAGCCCGGGGTCCTTCCCGCGCACCGCCCCTGCCAGCCCCTCCCCCGCCTCCCCATTGGTCCACACGCAGGCGCCTCCGTCACGTGAGAAAAACGCTCACAGGCTCCGCCGTCACGTGACGGCGCACGTTGCCCCGGGTGTCACGTGACCCGGGAGGCCCGCGGCGCCCGTCAGCTGCCCCTGGCTCTCCAGGCACGCCTCGGCCTTCCGCGCCCTTGGAGATCGGGGCGTCCCGCGGGCCGCGCATCGGATCGCGAAGGGCAGAGAGGACGCAGCTCTGGGGCGCGAGGTTCCTGTGCAGTGGACCGAGCGCTAGACTCGGAGTCCGAATGTGGGTGCGAGCTCTCTGGGGTCACCCACTGAGTAGAGTTCCCGGGCGTCTGTCGGAGGATACAGGGTGCAAGCAAGACCATCGCACCCACTCTGGGCCGGAGACTCGAACTCCAGCAGCAATCCCCAACTCTAGAAAGAGGTCAAAGCAGCTTGCTTGCAGCAGCTGGGAGTGGGAGGTGGCTGCTCCTTCTGGCTTCGAGGATCCTTGAAGGAAAAACGGCAGCTTCTCCAGGCAGAAAGGGGTAGAACGGTGCTCCTGGCAGAGGGAGGAACAAGAGTAAATGCTCAGCGGTGTGGACTCCGCCCCCTGGAGAGGGGAGTAGGTCTGTGAGTCTCAGAGAGGCTTAGGGGCCGCCAGATGATGAGGGGCACCGCTGGGACGCTCTAGAAATGTTGTACGAGGGTAGATCGTGGTTATGTGCCTTTTTTTTTTTTTTTTTCCCCCCGAGACACATTCTTGCTGTCACCCAGGCTGGAGTGCAGTGGCGCGAACACGGCTCACTGTCGCCTGGAACTCCTGGGCTCAAGGGATCCTCCCACCTCAGTCTCCTGAGTATCTGGGACCACAGGCACACCCACCACGCCCGGCTTTTTTTTTTTTTTTTTTGTAGAGACGGAGTCTTGCCATGTTGCCCAGGCCCGTCTCAACTCTAGGGTTCAAGATATCTTTCCGCCTTGGCCTCTCAAAGTGGCGTGAGCCGCTGCATCCGGCCTGGTTTTTTTGGGGGTTTTTTTTTTTTTTTGGTCTTTTTTTGTGTGGGGGGTTTTTTTGTTTGTTTTGAGGTAGAGTCTCGTTCTGTCGCCCAGGCTGGAGTACAGTGGCACGATCACGCCTCCCAGGTTCAAGCGATTCTCTTGCCTCAGCCTCCCAAGTAGCTGGGATTACAGGCGCCTGCCACAAGGCCTAGCTAATTTGTGTACTTTTAGTAGAGACGGGTTTCGCCATGTTGGCCAGGCTGGTCTTGAACTCCTGACCTCAAGTGATCTGCCCGCCTTGGCCTCCCAAAGTGCTGGGATTACAGGCATGGGCCACCACGCCCAGCCCGGGCCTGTGTTTTTAAAAGACCTCAGACTGGCCGGGCGTGGTGGCTTATGCCTATAATCCTACCACTTTGGGAGGCTGAGGCGGGCGGATCACCAGGTCAAGAGATCCAGACCATTCTGGCCAACATCGTGAAACCCCTTCTCTACTAAAAGTACAAAAATTAGCCAGGCGTGTTTGCGAGCATCTGTAGTCCCAGCTACTCTGGAGGCTGAGGCAGGAGAATTGCTTGAACCCGGGAGGTGGAGGTTGCAGTAAGCCGAGATCGTGCCACTGCACTCCAGCCTGGTGACAGAGCGAGACTCCATCTCAAAAAAAAAAAACAGACTGTGTGCCAGGTGGGGATGCATCAGCTGGAAGGTCTTCCCCTTCTCCTGGGCCTCCAGGTCCAGGTGAGTAAAATGTAAGGGAGTCCTAGAGAAACTCACTGACCCCTATTCTCCCCACAGTACCAAGGCTCTGGTGGTTCTTCGAAGGGCCCAGGGCATCCCTGTGTTCTCATAGGGCCTGTCTGTGCCTTGCCCCTCAGATCCTGTGGTAGTGGAGAAGATTTATTTGTCTCTGCACCCCTTGCTGTCCAGACCCACTTTCAAATGAGTTGAATTGATACATAATAATTGTACACATAGAGAGAGTACAGCTGACATTTGGATACATGCATACACTTTGTTTCTCCCTCTCTTTCCACTCCCCTGGTCTCCAGCCCTGGCCCTTTCCGTGGAGTCCTGGGGGAGGAGGTAACTCTTCCCTTCCCCTTCCCGGGGGATCCATAGAAATAGTGCCCCCTGTCCCTGGGCATCCGGCTCAGTATGCTGGGAGTCATCCTTGACCTCATGCTGGCCCTCACCCCTACACAATCTTTCAGTTAAGTCCTAACCACTCTGCCTCCCAAACAGGTGGTAACTTAACAGGTGGCAGCTTTGCCCTCCTCTTCCATCTCCAGGGCCTAGGTCACCATCCTCTCACCTGGATGACTGTAACAGCTCTCAATGGTCTCCTGCCTCCACCCTGCCCCCCCCAGGCCACTCTCCATACAGCAGCAAAGTGACCCTCCTAAAATGTCCATTGTGTCATGCCTCTCCTGTGTTTGCACACTCCAAGTGGTTGCCATAAAATCCAAACTCTGCCCTGAACCTGCAGGAGCCGTCCCTACCCATTTCTGCACCTGTTGCCTCCCCTTGATCACCTGCACAGCCATGCCAACCGTGTGGGCTCCCTGAACCCCCCACTTCCCCTTCCACCTGGGGATCTTAGCACATCCTTAGCTGTCCCCACCACTTTGCATCATCTTACCCCTTCTAATGTGGTGGTGCTTCTCTTCCTCCAGGCTCAGTGAGGCCTTTTCTGCCCCCACCAGCACCCCAGTACGCTCTAGCTAGGCCCTGTTTTAGCCACAGCACTTATCACATTATTTCGTACCTGTGTTTTCCTATTTAACGTGTGTCCTCCTCACTAGTGTGTCTGCCTCATAAGGGCAGGAACCATGTCTAGTTTTGTTTTGTTTTGTTTTTTTCCTGAAGACAGAGTCTCGCTCTGTCACCCAGGCTGAAGTACAGTGGCGAGATCTTGGCTCACTGTAATCTCCGCCTCTGGGGTTCAAGCAATAATTGTGCCTCAGCCTCCCAAGTACCTGGGAATACAGGCGTGTGCCACCACGCCTGGCTAATTTTTGTATTTTTATTAGAGATGGGGTTTAGCCATGTTGGCCAGGCTGGTCTCAAACTCCTGACCTTAACTGATCTGCCCGTCTCAGCCT